GGGCAGGCAGGCAGGTCCCAAGGAGTCCGTCCAAGCCGAGCCCTTCAGAACTGAAAGCGTGTTGGGCTTGTGCCTCTAAGGTCAAGACGCACGACCTCAGTCCCAGTGCCGGCTCGCAGACGTGAGTGCTGAGCTCAGTTCCTCACTGTGCTCCCAATACCTCAGCCAAGGTGCAGCGTCCTGGCTGCCCGCCCAGCCTTGTCAATCTCACGTTGCCCATCGTAGCCCCTCCTAATCAGAGGCCTTCCGCGCAGGCCGGGCCACCAAGCCAGGGTCGGCACACGGGACGGGCACGTCCCCAGCCCGCGGCCCGAAGGATAGTCCTGCTGTGTGCACAGGAGGGTGAAGACTGGCGAGCCTTGAAGGAGACGGCCCGCCCGGGCCTGGACGGACTCGAGGCTGCGGCTGGGCATGGGCTGGGAGCCACCCTCTGCGTGACGGCCCTGAAGCACGAAGGCACGGAAACAGGAGAGGCCTTGGCTTGGGGAACTTCTAAGCTGCAGAGGACTCAGAGTCTGTGTCTCTGCATGCCCGTCCCAACAGGGGATTTAATCTGCAGCGCAGGTTACTCACAGGTCAGCAGGAATCATGCAGTGTGCCGCTGCCTGGGCTGAGGGACTGAAACCCAGTGCACACCCTGGCAAAGAGTGGACTGCAGAGAGCTCAGGCCACAGCCACGGCCCAGGGCCGAGCGACGGTGGTTAAGAAGGAGCGTGGTGCAGGGCAGGGCTGAAGAGCAGGTGCTGCAGCTGCACCTGGAGTCAGGGTGGATTCCAGGCGGCAGCACCACCAGGAACAAAGCTAGAGGTGGGGTGAGGGAGCAGGCGGGGGGCATGGCCTGGCTGGGGCAGAAAGCAGCCAGTCAGGGAACAGCCTGGGCAGAGGACGGGGCTAGTGTGCCTGCCCCTGGTGGGTTGGTTTGGTTTGTGTGTTTGTTTTGTGCTTTTCTGCAGAACTAGGATCAAACCCAGGGGTGCTCTACTTCTAAGCTTTATACCCAGGCTTTTTTACTTATTTTGAGACTGGGTCGCACTAAGTTGCTCAAGCGAGGCTTGAACCTGTGATCGTCCTGTCTCAGCCTCCAGAGCGGCTGAGATTACAGGTGTATACACCAGCCTGGCCCTTGCTGGTTGTTGAAGGTCGGACTTTTCACAGGAACACGGGCTTATTCCTTCATTCCCAGTCTCCCTTTCTGAGGTTTCAGCCACCTCTGGGCAACTGTGGTCTGAAAATGTTATCTGGAAAACCCCAGAAATAAGTTCCTGAGTTTCAGACTGCAGCCGTTGGGCGGAGCGGGATGGGGGGTGGACTCCCCAGCCTTCCCGCCCACCCCGCCCAGGGTGGGAACTGGGCCTTTGTCTAGCGTCCGCACACAACATGCGCCACCCCCATAGTTCTCAGTTGAGTGCATGGTGCCACGGGCTGGTGGGGGAGCCCTCACTTAGTGATGGCCCCAAAGCACGAGGGTCGGGACGCTGGTTGCTTAGATACGCTGGGAGACAACTTCCTGTAAGTGAAAAGTGGAAGCTCTTGACTTAACAGGGAAGCAGGAAGTCAGGGGCTGCAGGGGTTGTTGCTGCACTGTCCCTGTGCTCGACCCGCAGTCACACTTGCCACAGGGACCTGTGTGCAGGAAAAGCTGTGTTCTGAGCTCGGTGCTGCTGCTGGTCCAGGCATCCTGTGCTCTGCAGAGTGCTGGCCCCTGTTCTGGCTCTGTGATGAAGGAAACAAGAGGCTGATGTGACATCGGGAACCCAGCCAGGGCAGAGCCTCTGCATGTTCAGAGTCCAGGCGGAAGCCCCACAGCTACCGCTGGCCACAAGAGCCAAGGACCAGTTGCTTTCTCTGGTTCCTCCTTGTGTAAAATGTAGACCTCTTATTGGCATCTTTGCATCTTAACCAAAAAAATCTATAGCACTGAGAATGCCCAGGCATCGACAGTGGTAGGTATTCAGCTCTGAACGGAAAGCAAGCTGGGCCGAGTACAGAGAGGGGCTGGGTCGGGAAGCCTTGAGTTTGCGCTGGGCGCTCAGGTTATTCAAGACCGATGTTTTCATTCTTCTCTTGGTTTTTTTTTCTCTTCTACATGTGCTATTTTTATGACAAAGAAGTTGCAGGCATTTAAAAAACTAAGCTCTCGCGCCCCACACCCCTGCACACACACAGTACCCTGTGAAATAAAAGCATGGGGGTGTCTGTCCCCCAACACCCCCGGCTGACGCTGAGGCAGGTGGGCTGGGCGTCACTGACGTCCCATTGATGCCTGGCCAGCGCCAGCTCCGTCCTGGCTCTGGCTGCTCACATCCCGGAAGAACGCTGAGTGATTATGACATTTTCTGGTTTTGCTTTATTGATTAAAATGTGTATTTTCACCACAAAGGCCAGCTTTCCCACAACTGGCAGATGAGAGGCGTCTTACCCACAAACCACAAAAGAGGGGGGATTCGGAGGATGTGGCTGGGCCCAGTCACAGCAGTTTTTTATAAGAGTGATAGCTCCTAATACTGTTAACAGAGAAATATGGAACATACCAAATCAAGGTGTGCAGAACAGGGCCGACAGTCTGGCCCAGCCGTGAGTGCAGAGTGAACATCTTGGCTCCACTTAATATAATCAAGTTCACCTGTAGATGCCTGACTTCTCAGGGAAAATAATATCAACATCCACGTCTTCCCTCGCATTGCCGAGCTTGCTGGCCTGAGGCTCGCTTTAGATTTCGCGCTATGATTTTAGAAATTCGAATGAATGTGCATGATTGCACTTTCCCTGCAGAAGATAAATGTGGGAGATTAAGCAGCACAGGGCACAGGCACTCGGATGCCACCAGCCCCCCTGCAGGTGACACCTGGGCTGGCCAGACCTGCTGGTCCCGAAGTTTGCAGGGAGAAGCTCAGGTGTCCATGTGGCTTTGTGAAAAGAGCAGTTTCCAAAGCACAGCAGGACAAGATCTTTCACCAGGGGTGGAGGAAAGTGGCTGCACACCTGCCTGGGCTACACAACCTCGGGGGCTACACAACCTCAGGCTCGAGCTGGCTGTGGTCATCCCAGAATTTAGGTAGTGCAGGACTTCCTATGCCAAGAAACTGTGGAATAAGAATGGGTGTTTGATATTCCGCAGCGGTCATCTTGGATGAGAGCAGCGTGCGTCTTCCATTCTCTAGTGGAGCCATTTGAATTTTGCCTTGAATTTTGCCCGATTTCGCCACATGGGCCATCTCCAGGGGTGCCTGCTCCATGCTAGGCGGCCCAGGGCACAGGATGCAGGGCAGTGATGACAGCCAAGCCTTCAAGCAGGCAACCTCAGTGTCCCCATGCCCATCCTGCCGTGTGCCTCACCAAAGCTCCTTGGCTCCTCCCAGGCAGGGGTTCCATGTACTATCTGCACACCTCAGATTCCTGGGCCATACCTGCCAGGAGCTGGCGCTGTCAGAGCAGAGGGGAGGGGATGCTTTCCGAGGGCATAGGTGGAGTCTGAGTGGGGACCTTGCCCTTCCTGCCCCACACAGCTGCTCAGCCTTCCTGCTCTGGGAGCCAAGGCTGCAAGGATCCATCTGGTTCCCCGGACAGTGGTGATGTCAGGGGCATGGAGAGGCAGAGAGGTGAGGAGATGTGGACCCCAGCTGGCCCCTCAGTGCCACCTCTGCATGCTCCTGTGTGCACACACATGTGCCTGTTTCACTGCCTGAAACCCCAGGCAGTGTTGGGGGACAGGACTGTGCCAATACCCATGGCAGATGCCAGAGCTGGCATGGTCCTTGATACGCTTCCTGAGTCCCAGCTGGGTGTCAACTAGATGGATCCTGAAGGGATGAGCCATGGCCACATGGAGCCCTTGTAGTGGGGAGTTCAGAGCTTGCTGTCCCCAGGTGCTTCTAGCAGTCTGGGTTTGCTGCAAGAGCCGGGAGCATTACAGTTGGAACAGCAAGGGTTGCGACTTTGTCTTTAGTGCTAGAACCTCTTAACGTGGGCACAGCCCTGGGTGCACAATGCCTTAGGAGCAGGACGCCTGGCAGGTCAGAGAAGTACGCCCATGTTAAAGGAAGTGAACTCTGTGTGGACACCAGCAGGGCGAGGGACAGATGAGGGATGGACCAAGCTCAAGGGTTAGTGACTCACTGTCTCCAGGGTACACAGTTCCCAAACCCCGGTCTGATCCCTGTGTTTTCACACGGATAGTGCGTGTGCAAGCATGCCTACGTCTCCCATGCTGGCGTCCATCATGGCATGTACAGGATGTGCGTGTCAGCACTGCCCTGGGAGATGATGGCTTCCTGTGAAATGGGTGTCCTGGGTGGCTGGGGGACACGCCCACACTGGGCATCCAGAATGCAGGAGCAATTGCTGCCTCGTGGCTGTGTCACTGCCACCCTCTCTGGCCTCAAGGGTCCTGGAGACTGAGTCCTACTCCCAGCTCTAATGCGACTCTGACTGTAAGGTTGCTCTCCAGCGCTGTGCTTCCTGTCTGTCAAGCAGAAAATTTGGAGGGATTCTTACCAGGTCACGTCTGTTGGTCCTCATAGTCAGCAAGAGGAGGAGAAATCAAGTGACTGGAGCACAAGACGCCCATGAGTGAGCTCGGTTCTTCAGGAGCTCTCCCCTGTGGGGATTTACACCTGTGCTTAGCATGTCCAGGGCTGGTCCTCCCTGTGAACTGTGCCACCACGTCCCTCCTGCTCACACGGAAGCAGTGTCCTCAGGATGTTTCCAGGCACCAGCGCCACCGCCCTTGCAGCCCCAGCCCAGAGCCCCTGCCCCATGCATTGTCCTCTGGGTCCCCGGTGCAGTAACCTGGCCTGGCCATCATCCTGTGCCAGGGCCCACCCCACCTGCTCCAGCCCAGAATCTCTCACCCTCATGCGTTTCCCACACCAGCTGTGTCTGGCTCATCTGCATGTTCTAACCTGGATGTGCCAGGGGTCACACTGTCCAGAAAGCACCACAGGATCCAGAGACCCAGTGTTTCCTGCCCTGTGCTCCCTCCTGATTGCTGCTCCTTGCAGGCTTACATGGAGGACCACCTGCAGAACAAGAACCGGCTGGAGAAGGAGTGGGAGGCGCTGTGTGCCTACCAGGCGGAGCCTAGCAGCTCACTTGCAGCCCAGAGGGAGGAGAACCTAGCCAAGAACCGCTGCCCAACTGTGCTGACCTGTACGTACCTGCGAGTATCTGCTGGGGTGGGCGGTGGAGGCCGGGGAGGGCACCCAGCGTCAGTCTACAGAGCCCCCTCTGCCCTGTGGCAGACCTCACCCCTTGTGGTAGGACCACATCCCCTCTGGCCAGTTCCCCAGCCAGTGCCCTCTGGCCAGCACCTGAGACCTGCAGGCAGGGCTGGGCCCCATGAGCTGCAGCGTGAGGCAAGTGCCAGGCTCTGCTGGTCTCTGCGTGGCCCAGCCTGTACCCCTGACCTGGACTGCATGTGGGCAGACTGGCGCCCAGCCTTGCACCATCACCCTGGGTGCCAGAAGTGGTGGCGGCCACTATAGCATACCCTGACTGTATGAAAGTCTCTACAAACACTGTGACAAGCCCCCTAGCCAGGTGTTGCTCCAAAACCAACGGCCACAGGACCAGGACCAGGTGGTGTCAGAGCCAGGGTCAGGAGGCCGTGTGCATCCTCACTGCGCCCGGCACCCTCTTCCTGCTCTTCCCACATATCCACTGGGATTTCGATCCACATGGGGACCCCCAGTGCTCTCCGTGCACACAGCTCCAGGTGTAGAGGGACCCATGCCATGGTCACCTCAGGAGGGACAATAGGTCATGTGAAAGTCCCTTGGCCACGGCCTCAGCAGCTGTGGGCAGGGGGCCCTGCGTGTTGCACAAGTGATGAGAGGCACTTCCGGTCAGTAGCTGGGCATGGTGGCGCACGCCTGTAATCCCAGCCCTAGGGAAGCTGAGGCAGGAGGATCGTTGTGAGTTCAAGGCCAGCCTGGGCTACAAAGTGAGCTCAAGGCCAGCCTGAACTGCACAGTGAGACCCTGTCTCAAAAAGACAAAAAAAGAAAGAGGAACTTCCAGTCACTTCTGAGGCCACAGTCAACCGCAGCTCCAGCACATCACAGCAGCGCTGGAGACCACAGTCGCGGAGGTGGAGGCTCTGTCCTGGCTCCTGCCCGTGCCTCAGCCTCTGCAGCCATTGTGGGCCAGCTGGGCACCACGAGGCCCAGGGCCTCACAGCCCCGTTGTCCGGCCTGGGGAGGGCTCCAGTTGCCCCCTAAACATGGAGGCTGCCCCAAAGGAGCTGGAGGCTGCAGAACCGTGTGTGTGAGCCATGGCAGCCCTGGAACCACGGGCCTGGGCTCTTCACTGGACAGCACTAACTGGCTGCTGTTGTTCATGGGATTTACATTCAGAAGAAAACCAAAGGGAAGTACTGTGCTCTAACTGATCGACTAACTGATGCTTATTAAGCACCTACTGTGTGTCAGCAGCCACAGATAACTTTGAATGCCTGATGAGCCAGGTGAGGGCAGTGTCCCCAAAGAGGAGCTTCAGTCGAGGCAAGGACTGGGCAGAGGGGTGGGGGCCCTGGTGGGGAGAGGGGAAGCAGGGTCAGGGGAGGCTTTCAGCACACCACACCTTGAGAAAGGAGATGGGCCAGGCATGGTCACACACGCCTGTAACCCCAGCACTCTGGGAGGCTGAGGCAGGAGGACTGCAAGTTCAAACCCAGCAGGGACAGCTTAGCCAGACCCAGTCTCAAAATACGAAAAGGACCGGGGACATGGCTCAGCGCAAGGCACTGGGAGTAGTTGGGCAGTAGACGCTGACATGTCAGACAGCTTGCATCTGGTCGGGATTGGATCATCACCCTCTTCTTGGGGACACTCCCTCCCGTGACAGCCAACCCACAGCAGGGTCGGGCACTGGGGTCCTTGCTGTGTGCCTCTGACCTGCATGGCCCTGGACTACCTGTGCAGTGCTGGCAGCAAGGTCAGAGGCAAAGAGGCCCTCTGGGCAGGGCCAGGAGGACCAGGGCCCTGGGCATCCCCTGTGCCGAGCCCTCGGCCAGCCCTGTCCAAGCTGAGAGAGTGCCGTCCAGAAGCGCCCTCAGGGTCCTGTCTACATGGCTGGGGCAGGGCTGGGGTGAATGGGGTCGGCAAGGCCTGTGCCTGGCTGGAGCACCTGGATGGCTGTGTTGGGGTGAGCAGAGCATTTGACCCACCCTGTGGCCTGCTCTGCTGTCCGGCACTTGCCCGCCCTCACTGCCCTCCCTGCTCCAGCAGGGGCCCTGGCCCTCTCTCTCTGTCCAGTCTGTCTGCCAGCGCGTGGAGCTGGCCCTGCAGGGCGGCCAAAGTAGGCCCTGGGCCACGCTTTCTTGGGCTCCAAGGGCGCCTGCAGAAGCTGGTGCCAGGAGGAGGTGGGTTCCCTGCGGGCCACTTGTTCTCAGCGGCCGTGTCCTGGTGTCTCCAGGAGCAAGTGGGCTCTGTTGTGTGCTTTGCATTTGCTCCTGAGACCCGGACCAGTGCGTGACATTCTTGGGTTCCTACTACTTCCCAGGAAAGGTCCTCCCTGCGCATCCTCCAGCCTCCCATTCCTCTTTGCCGCAGCTGCCTCTCACTGGCCGAGTGCAGCAGATCACCGTCACCTGTCCCCAGGAGCAAAGCCACAACCTGTCCCTGCTCCCTCCAGGGCGGTGTGGTTTCTGTGTGTGTCCTCGCTCCTGCCTGGGGAGCCCCTTCCCACCCTCCCCTCCTCTGTGCCTTGGCTCATGTGGTCCCGCCTGCGTGCAACTCCAGGGGCTGAGGCCGCAGCACACCCACAGCGGGGTCACTGGAGACTCTGGGGCCCTCTCGGCCTGGGATCTGCTCCGTGGGGCGTTCCTGAGAGGAGAGGGCTGCTGCCATTCGTGAGGGGCTTGGCCAGCACTCGTAGGTCCCCATTATGCTATCTCAGAAGCTTGAGGCACTTAACGTGTTCATGCGTGGCCGGTGTTTTAGATGGTTAAAAAAGAACAGTTTGTTGTCTGCCTCTCAAATTAAGAACAGGACTCTGATGCTATTTTAGTGCACTGTTTTAAACAGAAAAAAACCCTTTGGTTCTGTATTAGAATAAACAGAAAGAGAGCTGAGGACACAAACTGTGACAGGAGTATTTTGAGAGAGGGTGGAGGGCTGCAGACCAGGGACACAGGACAGACGGGGAGGCTGTTCTCACGTCCTGAAAGCATCATGGTCAGAAGGGCAGTGCCAGCCCAGCTCTCGATCCCAAGCCAGGTTAACTGGGCCACGAGGCCTCCACTATCAGTCCTCGGTTTCCACCCGGAGAGAGGACAGAAGCCCCTGCCGGCCCAGAGCCGCATGGGTGTCCTCCGTCCGGTGCTCCTGCAGGAGGGTGGACTTTGCATTTCCTCAGGGGCCCTTGGCCCACATTGGTGGCTGTCCCCTGAAACTGGGTCTTTCCCCTGAGGACTGTTGCTGGGCCTGGATGCCCTGGCCACCATGCACCCTTCCATGGCCAGTGGGTGTGACAGAGGCCCGGACCTTGCGCTGTCTCTGGGGTGGACCCCTGTTCAAGACCATGGAGACGCCGGGCCCTGACTTGCCGGGGCCCCACCCATGCTGCCGCTCTCATTCTGCACACTTTTCTCCTGTCTCCACGTCATGAGAGAACAGAGCCTGGGACAACTGTGGGCCCCACACCCAGCCTCGCCACGCTGACCAAGGCCTGCGATCCAGCTTCCCGGGAGTGGAGCCTGGGTCTGCAGTCCCCCGAACCCCCTACGGCACTCAAGTCCCCAGCCCCGAGCACATGCACCCAGTGCCAGCTACGCATCCTCACAGTGTCCTCCTGATGCCTTGGTGCACCTCCCTGGTGCAAGTGAAAGAGCCAGAGCTGGGCCAGCTAGAGCTGTGCCCGCAGCTGAAGGTGCCCAGCCTCTTGTTCTGTGCATCGACCACTCACCAGAGACGGCTGGCCGGGTCCATCCCCCGTGCTTCCCCCTGGGGGTCCCCCTTTCTGAGGTTTGGCGCGGCCCCCAGCTGGGCTGGACAGCAAGTCAGTGGTCACCTGCCACCTACGTGCCGCTACTTCCACGTGTCATCGTGCTGCGTCTGTGTGACGCGTGTGTGGGCTTGGTTTATTCTCGGCTGCACTATTTCAAAGTAAGTTGCAGGCAGCAGACATCAAAGTGCTCTAGCCCACATCTCCTGCAAATAAGCACCTTCTCCTACACACCTGCCGCCATCGTGGTGACTAAGGGAAGCAACAGCAACTCCCCGCATCGCCCTGTACTAGTCGTATCCCCTGCTTAAGCTGCCCGCCCTAGCAGCAGGTGGGTGGCTCCCACACCAGAGGTTCATTCTCTGCGGGTCCAAGCTGATGTCCCGATCAAGGTGTGGCTTCAGTCTGAGAGTTCTCTCCTCAGCTCAGTGTCTTTTCCTATGTGTCCAGATCGCTCTTGCTAAAGACACCACCCCAGTGACCTGGTCTAACCCGATGACCTCTGTCTGGATCCTGGTTCTGGGCACGTGTCTTTTTGGAGGTACTCAGCTCACATCCTGGGGGGTGGTCTGGACGCATCCCTGTTTGCCTGGCATCCTGGGGGTGGTCTGGACGCATCCCTGCTTGACTGGCATGCAGCCACACCTGCGAGTCCTCCTTCCGTGTGGTCAGAATCAGGCCCTGTGCTCCGCCCGCACACAGGGTCCTGTTTGGGGACTGCTTTCTCAGAGATCGGTTGGGGGTGCAGGTGACACCTTAGAAACAAGAGCAAGGCTCTGACCTCCTCCTTTAGATCACTGTCGCCACACTGGAGCTCTGCTGGTGGGCTCAGAGCAGGGAAGCCATACACAGGGCATCCTTGCTCGGCAGCTCCCCAGCACACCCTGGAGGGGAATGGTCTCACATTGAGACTGTCACAGGATGCAGGAGGGTTTTCTGATGTGACACTCTAGCCGTCCCCGTCTGCCCAGATGCAAGGTCACAGCACCGCCCACGGAGGCCACAAACAGAGCTCCATGGCCTTCTTCTGTGCACACTGACCTTCATGATCTCCTGAGCCTAGGTCACAGGCATCACAGCAAGGAGCAGAGAGAGTGGGGAGAGGCCTTCGTCCGCACGTGGGGTCTCAGAGTCACACTGCCACTGTCCTCATGTCTTCAGATCTACAGACAGGCTCATCTGTTCAGCGTCTCAGAGCTGAGTAGAGGCGGTGTGATGATGTGTCACTGAGCCCTGACCACGACAAGTCAGAACATACTCATCTGTGTGCAGCACCTGGAGAAGCCATCGTGGCTGGGGTAGGACAGTGGTGGGTGACCTCAGGTGGACACCTCACAGTGTGTCACACCACCAGCGAATCCACGAAAGTAGAGAGGAGCTGTGGTCACTGACGCCATCCCAGGCCACAAGTCCCCTGAAGCCACACAGCCCTGACATTCCAGGACAAACTGCCACCATCGCCAGAAGTGTCCACATCACCATCAGCCGCACCATCGAGGCAAGAACATGGTGCCCACAGCATAAATGATTGCATCGAACTCTCAATAGAAAAGGTAGAGAGCTGGAGGCCCTGTGGCCATCCATCCTGATGCTGACTTGATTCAAGTGAGGGACACCCAGCAGATAAGTAGGTCAGCCTTGGATGTGTCTGTATGGGTCATGGTGTGGCCTTGGGGTCTGCACCTGTCCTGCGCCTCCTCCTCCTCCTCCTGGTGCTCTTCCCCTGTTCTGCTACTCGACCACCATGCTGCTCCCCCACACCCTTCCACCATGGGGCTCCAGCCTTGGAGCAGCTGATCATGGACCAAATCTGAAACTGTAGACCATGTTTGCACTCTCCTCCTTTGGGTTTTGGGTCCCCGTGTTGTCCAGGGACAGGAGAGCTGGCTGACACAGCCCTGTCGGGATGGGGTGGCTCCTCTTTGAGCACCATGGAGCCCACACTGTGGACCCCCTACTCCAATACTCTGGCCACAGCACCTGACAGTAGCCAGGGTGATGGGCTGCACACATCGGCTCCCTCGGATGAGGGAGAGCAGAACCAGGAGACATCTTGAGAGCGCCACACTGCAGGCACAGGTAGAAGGCTGCCTCCCTCAGGGACACGGCAGGCTCCAGTCCTGAGTCCGCTGAGCCGGGCTGCAGAGGGCTCTGTGGGGCTCCAGCATGGCGCTGTCCACAGGAGACATCGGGCACTTGCTTCCCCCGTGATTGCTCACAAAGATCCACTTACATTTACCACAGAGACCGTGTGCCCTGGGTAGGCTGTGCCCGCCGGAAGGCCTGTGCTCCCAAAGGTGTGTCCTCTGCGACCTGGAGCTTCCTCCTGAGCTCCTCACCGCCTGTCCCGGATGTCACTGTCACAGCAGCCTGTGAGCTCAGCACCGTGGCTGTGTCTGGAAGAAGAATCTGATTGTGACACGCAAGTCAGCTGCCTCAGCACTGCCGGGAGAGTGCGTGGCAGGCTGGGATCGAGACCACGTCTGCTGCGGTCAGGGACCCTGCCGGGCCTCCCGGGCCTCTCTTTCTCCAACTGAATGGGCAAATTATGTCTACCGGATCCTAATCTGTGGCTCTGGGTTCCAGAGGGTCAGAAATGACATAGAAGAAAATTCAGGGCATCAGAGAAACCTGGGTGTCCGTGATCAGGCGCCGACACCAAGTATTTCAGGCCCTTGGGAAGGAGGCCGCCAGGCTGCTTCCAAGGGCGTGCTCTCCACGCTTGCTTGTCCCCTCCCTCCCTGGGAGGACTTTGGCCTGTGGGTCTTGCTGGAGGAAGAGGAGGGAGCTGGGTGGACTTCTGTTGCCCTGGCTCTAAAGTCTGGGGTTTCTGAGGATCCCTCCCGAAAATGCACCGTGGCTCCGGAGGCAGGTGGTGCGTGCTCCGGGAGCAGGGAGCCCAGGAAGTCAGGTGTTCGGGGAGCAGCCTTCCAGCTTGCTTCCCCAGCTTGCACCTGGCCTTGGGGCAGCACCCTGTTCTGCCAGGTCACCATCCTCCAGCATCGTGACAGACACAGGCAACCTTACCAAAGCCGCCGTGCCAGCGGTCACCATCCTCCAGCATCGTGACAGACACAGGCAACCTTACCAAAGCCGCCGTGCCAGCGCCTGTCCTCAGGAAAGTCACCTTGGCACAGGCATCTCTTTAAAAAAACGAACCACAACCAGAGATGTGCCTGCCCCGCAGCGAAGTTTCCACCCAGCGAGCCTCATTCCTGCACACCGGGTCCTTCCATCATGGCTCGGGGTGATTCCAGCGGGACCTCAGGATGGCCCAATGCCAAAAGCAGAGCAGCATCACATTTAATTTTAAGAGCAGTGAGTTGGTGCAGAGCCACAGATACCTTCCGAGGAGCAGGGCTCTGAAGCTCTCATGGCCCTCGTGCCCAGCTGGGACCCGGGCTGCTGCAGCAGCTCTGTGGTGTGGCCATCACCACACTGGGGCACTGCAGGCTCCAGCACACTGTCCCTCCAGTCCCCAGTGCAGGCGGGGGCCTAGGAGACCACATCCATGCCTCACAGACACTCCCCGACTCAGGGGCACCTCCTAGCCTTCCAGTGAGAAAATGCAGCCGGCCGTGGCACACAGAGCCCGGGAGAGCGGGGTAGCACCATCCCCTGTGAGGGGCCGGCTCTGCTGCAGCCTTGCCGCCCTGCATGTGGCCCTTCTGAGGTGCATGTGCTGCGTCCCACTCACAACCCAGGAGACTGCAAGCTGTGCCTTTTCCTTCCCTGCCCGCACTTACTCCCAGGTGCTCTCTAACAGCTTCTTGGGCAGCTAGGAGCAGTCCCCAGTTGCCATAGCACAAGTGCCTAAAACTGCCCATTTTAGAAATACCTCACGCTCAGGACCTGGCAAGAGCCCAACTCTTCGTCCCAGACTTAAGGGCGGTGTGACTCGAGGCCAGCGGGCCCCTCTGCGTACAGCGGGACCCATGCAGCACCACCCTGAGAAACGGAACCTGTGGACTCTAATTTTGGAGGCAGTATGTGTAGCACGTTGGAAAGCTAGAGCCGACCAATTTTGTCCTGTGAATTTTATTTCCAATTCTTGTCACTGCCACTTCGCACCCTCTGAGGAGTAAATGTGCACAGGAAGAAGCCGTTGAGGACCTGGGACTCTGGGATTGTTACTCTTGCCTTCGCGAAAGCCATGGGCTGGGGCTGAGCAGCTGTCCAGCACACACAGGCCCTGGGTTCAAGCCTCGGTACCAGGGCAATAAAAGCTGCTAGGGTGACTTCGGAGCCCCTCACACACCTTGGAGACAACCCACACACACACACACACACACACACACACACACACACAGGAGGGATCAGCTGTGTCTTGCCTAACATTGTCTCTGCAGGAAGAGCTCCCAGGAGGGTCTCTGGTCACATCACCCACATGTGAACTTTCCGAGTTTCACCTGTTATAGGACACCATTTCCCAAGCCCCAGAATCTGTTTTTTTAAAAAAAAAGAAAATCTCAAAGAGAAGTGAAGGTTCAAGTCAAAGCTCAGCCTCCAGGCCTTCACTACCAAGCCACCCTGGTGACCAGGGCCTCTTCTTCCACAGGAAGTGGCTGGAGATGTGGGAATTGGGGGTCAGGTGAGTCAAAGCAAGGCTCCTACTCTGGCCTCTGAAGGCCCAGTACAGGCGCCGTCATCTCCTCAGGAGAGAAGAGCAGGCCGGGCCCCACGCAGCACTCGTGGGGCGGCATCACGCACCCGCTCCCCGCCTTGCCACCAAGGCCGGCCGGCAGGGCCTGGGTGGCAGGGAGAGGGGCCCAGTGAGCGGAGGGCTCGTTGCATACCAAAGCCAGGAGGCCCACGCACTGGCCACCCTGCTCTTCCCCAGCGCCAAGCGCGGGGCGGGTCTGTGTTGGCACTGCTCCCGTGCCCGCCGTTCCAGCTGTCTCACGCTCACGAGTCTCCTCTGGATGCTCCCCCCTGCACCTTGTTATCTGCACTCTCAAGACCTCATGTCCAGTAACCTGAGGGATGGAACGACTCATCAGCAACGAAGCCTTGTGTTTCAGATGGTGGCCTATTGGTTACTATGCGCATGTATGTCCACTTCTCGTGTGCTGGGGTGGTATCTGTGAGGGGAATGCAGTGACAGAGGAACCAGTCTTGATGTCTGAGCTTCACCTGGGAGAGACACTGGGCCACACCCCGGCCCTGGCTGCGCCTCTTGTGCTGAGGGGAGGAGGAGACCCCATTGGAAGGGGCACGGAGGTGGGGTGGCCGAGAGCTCGCACACCCTCTCTGTGGGTGCAGGGCTGCCTGAGCCCCGGTGACCTGCTCTTGTGTTGCTTGCAGATGACCACTCTCGGATCCTGCTGAAGGCCGAGAACAGCCACGGCAACTCGGACTACATCAACGCCAGCCCCATCGTGAGTACCGCCAGGAGCGGCCATCGTGAGGAGGCGCCCTGCAGGGCCTGGCTGCAGTGTCCCAGCCCTCCTGCCCCCTCTCAGGCAGGCCGCAAGGGCAGAGTGGGCCTGGTGCTCAGAGTGGGCAGAAGGTCCGGCCCGAATGTCCGTGGTGGTGAGGAGCCCATGCCCCGGGGACATTCAGGCTGGGCGGCAGCGCCCTTCCTGGAGCTGCTTACTTATTCCTGTTGTGTTCCAGGGCAACAAAATTCCAGCCCCAAACCCACCCTGTGAGTGTGACGACCTGCCAGCCAGCTCAGAGCTGCAGGGTCTTCTGCTCCAGTTCTCCAGTGGCCAGGACCCCTTTCAGAAAACGTGAGCCAGCATTTGGTGCTGTGGCTTCAAGGACTGCACATGGGGCCCTGCATCTGGAGACAGTGTCACGGTGGCTTCCCCGGTTCAGACATCCCTGACTTCCACGGGGCCCTCCCGGCCCCCAGGGAGACCTCTGACCGTGGGCCTCGCCTCAGTGCTCGCCCCATGCCGAGCTCAGGGGCAGCAGGCAGCTGCAGAGGGGCAGTCGGAGCCAGTAGAGTGGGTGGAGAAGGGCAGGATGAGCAGCAGAGCCGCCAGGTCCTGGGGCTCCTTGGCGGGGACCAGCCTGTTCTCCCAAGTGAGCTGCAGCAAGGGCAGGCAGGAAGAGGGGGACTGTGGGGTCCAGAGCCAGGGTTCTGGAGGCCCCGGCTGACCCTTGGTGACACCAGGCAGGAAAGCCGCGACTCAGCAGGGTCTGTGACCAGCGCTGCAGCGTTTCCCACTCCACGCGGCTGCTCAGACTCAGCCTGCAGGGCGCACTGTCCCGGCGAGGTCCAGAGCATTCAGCTCATCTCCAGGGTCACAGCCTGCCCACAGGGCCCCCAGCCCTCTGGCCTTTGGGTCAGCGGCTGTTGGTGAGAACAGGGCTTCGGACGGCAGCGCATCCTCGGCTGCGGCACACTTCTCTGATGCGTCATGGCCACAGGAGAGCACGCTCAGCACAGGGAGCGGGGCCTGGGTACGCGGTCTCCACCCACCTGCTCCGACCTGGGCCGTGAGGATGATCTCCTCACCCTGCAGAAGTGGCCACAGATGCATCCATCTGCCCTGGATGTTCTCACCTGGCACTGATCAGCAGTCCTTCTCCACAAGACCCATCCAGAAGCAGCCAGCACCTTGTGCACTGAGCCAGTTCATGATTCACAAACCATTCCCAAGGCCCCGTTCCTTGGGAACAAGGCCTGTAGTCCCTGGACTGGTCTCTGACTGGCAGGTGACAGTCACGGCCACTCAGCACTGTCTGAAAGGGCTGGGTTGTACCTCAGTGGTAGAGCACATTTCTAGCATAAGCAAAGCCCCAGGTTTAACTCCCAGCTCCAAAGAAACAACGACCAAAGGGAAGAAAAAGAAATGCCACTTTCTTATTACAGCGGTCGTCCCCTTTTCCTGGAACACACCAGACTTCACGGCCAGAGTGAACAGCAAAGCTGTCACCTTCGCATCCCAGCAGCAGGAGTCTGCGCGGTGGTGGAGGTGTCCCGCTGCTCGGCTCCATGGCACACGTGAGGTGCAGCGGCCGCACTCTGGCTGCTGGGCGGGGCATGGGGAGGTGGATCTCTGCCCAGTGTCTGTGCAGCAGCCCCCTCCCCAGTGCAAGTCCAGAACGGCCTCCCTCCCCTGGACGTAGGGCAGAAGCTGGCGCAGGACAGAGGAGTAATTTTGCGGTGCCTCTTCCGTTTCTTCTTTACACCGCAGTGCTATTTTTTTTGGTCAAATTTGAGCTGTAGGAATGAAGTGAAAACCCACCGTGCCTCTTCCCTGTGAAATAACTGCAGGCCGGGTGATAATGACCTTCCAGCCGCTGCAGAATGGAAAGCGTGCAATTACAGCACACATCCCTGGCTGTGCAGAATGAAGCTACGATAATTACATCTGTCATATTTGTACTTAGTGCTCATTAAATTTCAGGGAAGCCACCCAGTAGTAAATAACGTGCAATCTTTGCTTTTAAATCAGAGGTCATGAAAGCAGGGGGGAGCTCTGCTCCTTTGCTGGGTGTCCGAGAGAGAAACCCATCGGCTTCTCTCAGGACTCAGCTGAGTTACTCCCGAGGAGGCTGCTGGGCCGGGGATCGTCACTCGCCAGCTGGGGCACCAATGGCACAAGAGCTAATGACCAGGCCCAGGCCTGACGGTCCTCGTGGGCCCTGAAAACAAGCTCACTGCAGGTGGCTCACTGAAGGTGACTAACTGAAGGTGAGAGATTGTTCACTGTTTTCGTTCAAATGCATGCCCCTGAGCCAAGCACGGACAGGGAGCTCCTTCCTCAGCAAAGGACGGCAGCAAGGTGGCCTGAGGCTCCTGAGAGACTGGCCGGCAGTGTGAGGGTGACCCTTGGTTCTCAGGGGCTGTTTGCAGCCAAGCGTCTGCGTGTATGATGATGGTTTCCTCTCAGTGCTGTGCTCAGGAAGTCTCAGCTCAGGAATAAATATGAAACGACTCGTGCTAGGGGCGTCGGTGTCTCTCCCGCTGGCTTCTGGAATGGAGGCCCTGGCAGACACCACTCTTGGCACCTGACCTGTTAACCCAACCTGTTAACCCAGCTCAAGTCTGTTTTGAAGAAATCGTTGGTGAACTTTGCCAGGTGTGGAAACGCACACCCTACAGAGGCACCTCCAGGGGCCGCAAGTGGGCCTCTGTCCCCATGAGTACTGGGCTTTGGGACAAGGTCTGTGGTCTAGGAAGGTTGAATGCTCCGTCTCTGGAATCATCCACTTGCCTTGGAAGATTGGGGAAGCTGCTGCTGGGGTTTGTCACATGAGCTGAACAGCCAGTCACCTCATGTAAGGACTGTCACCCCACCGCTGATGGCAGATCCCAGACCCTGCATTCAGAAGGGACCCTTCCTGAGGTCGGTCCACCAAGGGACAATGGTGTCAACACAGGTTAATGGTTTTCGTTTTTCTAAAAAAAAAAATTGCTCAAGCAAAATTATACTGTTGCACCTAGCCCCGGTGTCCTCTGGCCATCAGTCACTGTGAAGTCACGTAGGATCAGTCACACTGGACTATCCATGACCTGCAGAAGCCCTTAGTAAGGACTGGCTCCTGGGGCCGCCCTTCGCTGCACAGCGGTTCACAGGGAGAGGCGGGCTGAGGACACAGGCCTGGCGCCCAGAACACCGAGTCCAAGGATTTCACTGCAAGACACGCGTGTATGTGGAGGCCAGCCCACAGGCACGGGCACACATGCCCGGAGCTGCCAGGCACCTAGAGGTGATGTCCGACACCCCTCCGTGACACCCCCACTTTACAGGCAGCAGGGCCCGCACTGCACTGACTCTCCGTGGTCACGGTGTTGGTGTATGGGACGCAGCACCACCCAGAGAGAAAGCCCATCACAGAGAGACGGAAGGCAGCGGAGGCAGGGGCAGACAGAACATGCGATCAGGGCACCTGAGAGGCACAGGAAGACAGCAGAGCTGCGCCTGCTGCGGAAGGCCTGCCGGAGCCTCCCTGGAGACGGCAGTGCTGTGGACCGGCCACTCCCCTGCACTGTGATCCTGCAGTGACAAGCGACTACCAGGAGGCCTCTGTCAGTGCAGAGCGTCTGCTGCTCTGCCTCACACGGGGCTACAGCAGGGCTCTGCACCCCACCCAACCCCACACTATCCAGGGAGTGTGGCTGAGAGGGACACCCCAGCAGAGGGTAGCTTAGGAGCAGGAGGAGGAGGCCAAGGGCAGACCCCTGCCCGCCGTCCCCTCCCAAGGCCTTGCTTCGTTTGTTTACCTTGGGGGTGTTGAGGTGGTGGCGGGGTGGAGGAATTTCTAAATCTCAGCAGCTAAGACCCATCCCAGAAGCTGGCATGCCGCCTTCCGGAAACCCTGTCCCTACTGTCACTCTGTTTTTTGTTTGTTTGTTTGTTTTTCTCTGGTACCGGGAATGGAACTCAAGACCCTGCGCTTGCCAGGCAGGCACTGTGCCACTGCGCTAAATCCCCAGGCCCTCCGACTCGCTCTGAATCACGCATTTCTCGTTTGGAAGGCACCTGACCTGCCAGCGTGAACAGTTTCTAAACATGCTGCTCAGGGCAAGGAAGCACAACAGGCAGGGTGTGCCCCTTCTCGGGTGCATCCACCCGCAGGGAGGGCACAGGGTCCCCAAAAATAGCTGTCCCCCAGCAAGGGCACATTCTAAACAAACTCCTTCTTTCTGCCAAGCGTTTTTCTACTGCAGTATTTTACTTGGGGCTTTCGAGGGGAAGAATAATTTTACCCCTATTGTGTGCGTGAAGGTGAATTTCCAAACAAGGCCCAGTTTCAGTTACAAACCCCCGAATTAGGTGGATGGAGCTTTTCTGCTGCCCCTGCTAGCGCGTGCTGTGTTGGGCAGGGGTGACTCACACCTGCTCCCACACCTCATCAAGGGCGTCCTTGTGTGTCCCCATGGCCTCCAGCTTGATGGCGGCCAAGTGTTTTAAAGGGACAAAGGATTTTACATATGGTTAAAACACTTTCATGTCTCACCACTGGAAAATCTTTAACCTCAGAGCATCCCGTGTCTGTCGTTTGACTGTGTCCTCATACGTGTGGGGAGGGCGGATATCTGAGCAGGCACTGTCTGCCCGGCAAGGTCCCGTGGCCTCCTGCCTGCAGTGGGTCATGGGGCCTCTGTTGGAGTGAGGAGAGCTTTCAGGTGACTGTGACATGGGGACAGAGAGGCAGGTGCCCTGTCCTTTGCAGGGTGACCAGGCAGCCCAGGCATGACACTCTCTGCAGTGGCTTCCATCCCACTGGCCTCTCAAGCTTTGTCCTTATGTTCTTTGTACTTTGTCCCTGTGTCACCAGGCTTTGACTATCACATTGTAATTCAGGTCTGCCAGCCTGGAGTCCCCGCTGGAAGTCCTCATATGCATGAGGCATGTCACCCCAATCCAGAGCTGCTTGGCAGGGCCGGATGGAGGGTGGCCCTTGAGGCTGGCCCATGACCACATGCATTCACCCCAAGCATGGCCCAGGCAGGCCCTGGTACCTGACTGAGCCCCTCAGACATGCCAAGCTTGTCCCTGGGCCCCAGGTGCCCATGCCTCTGCAGACCTCTGCATACCTCTTGGAGGGCGCTCACTTTAGCAGGTGGGCCCAAAGCCTGGGGTACTGGAGGCCATGCAGCCGAGCTCTGGCCCCTTTGACAGTGCTGCTGCGTAGGCCATGTAGACCATCAGCCCCTGACACACACGGGGCTCCCGGGGGCTATGTTTCTGTTGATGCCACTGTTAGAAGCTCGGTGTCAGGCCTTGGGACTCATCCTGCCTGTGGCCCAGGCTCAGGCCCAGCACACAGGTATGGTGCCTGCACTGGGTCCCTGCATGTGGCTGTGGTGCCCCTGGTGCCCTGCTGGTCCTGCCACCCTTGTCCTCCTCAGCCGGGCTCCTCTCTGGCGTCCCCGGCCACACAGCTTACCCCATCACGGCCATCTTGTCTCTGCAGATGGACCATGACCCTAGGAACCCTGCATACATCACCACCCAAGGACCGCTGCCCGCCACGGTGGCTGACTTCTGGCAGGTGAGTCTTCTTTACCATCTACTTTTTATAAAAATAAAATCTTAATAGATTGGCCAGGACTGCTCCTTGAATTCCATTAAGCCAGTTTAAACTTAAGGGGCTTTTTTTTTTTTGGTCTTTCCTTTTACTATTTTCTTTTTTGGTACCGGGAATCGAACTCAGGGCCTCACGCTTGCCAGGCAGGCGCTGCGCCGCTGAGCTACATCCCTGGCCTGAGCCAGTTCAAACTTGTTCCAGGTGCTCATCAATGTCATGGGATCCCAGAACTTAGACATCCATTAATATCATCATCGCTGATCTTTCTGTCTTCAAGTTTGAGTAGAAAAACCCCCTCTGAGATGCTGAATGCTTTAAAGATCTTTGCTTTTCACGCCACAGTGTCACTTTACACAGTGTGAGGGCGTGCAGTGAACGCGTTTACACTGCTGTATTTTATTCTGATGTGCCTCACGCCTGTTGCTTCGGCCTCAGGAAGGTAAAGATGGTGCTGACATACAGCTTCCCCTCCTCCGAGGAGTGCCCCGTCCAGCACAGCCTGGGTCAGCAGCCGCAGCCATTGACACTGAGGCTGCTAACAGTCCCTAAATCAGAGCAGAGTTCTGCATCACCCCCAGCGAACCTCAAGACAAAGCTGCACAGTGGCTCCGTGTCCTGGGCAGCGTGTGTGCTCCCCAGCAGTGGGCGTGGCCTCCGCCTCACTCGGGCTTGCTATGTCCCAGGGCAGACACAGAGGCAGTGACCCGGCGGGTGTGGCGACAGCCACGTGAGGTCGCGCTGCCGCTGGGCTGCTTAGACCGCAGAGGTGGCCCCGTCTTCTCCTTTGGAAACTCATGACAGTAAGTAGATGGCACAGGTCAGCCAGTGCGATCACATCTCCCATCCCAACTTTGCTGTCCACCCTCTCTCGCCCCTCCCAGAAGGGAAGGACACTGGTCTCTGTGCCGGAGAACCGTCAGGCTGGGCTTTCTGGGCATCAGGCAGGGCCAGGGTTTCCCAGGTGAGTCCCGAGAGAGACCGGGCCGGGAGAGGAAGCTGAAGCTTTCGACGTGTTGACATCACAGCCTACTCTTAGTGCACCTGGCTCTTCGCGCCACTGAAGTCTCACCGCGGAGCCCGAAGCCCTGGCCTGGAGCCCTCGGCCCAGGCACAAGGGCCCTCCACTGTGAAGGTTGCAGTTCCCCCTGTGAGCACACGTGGTCACGGAGCACACTGTACCCACGTCCCATGCGTGGCCCTGCACCCAAACCCGCATCCAAGCGAGGCCCCTCTTTCTGCCTGAGTACCTAGACAGCGCAGTGGCTGCAGGTCGCTCCTTCCAGCCTTGCCCACAGCTCACTGTGTCTTTTAGAGAGCTCTCAAGGAGCACATTCTTGGAATACAAAGGAAATATCTCGAAGCGATATCAACAGAGAAAATGTTGGCCTGAGGGGTAGTACCGGACCAGTGAGACGCCTCGGTCAGGATGCAACAGCTCCTGGAAACACAGTGTCAGGCTGGGATGTCCCTGCGCCCTTAGCAGCAAAGTCCCCAAGGAGGTCTGACCGCAGAAGCTGGCCTCGCCCCTCCCCCACACCCCTGTGGTGGGATGCTGTGCTCACACCTGGTCACATCGGGGGTGCTCCTTACACAGCACAGCCAGCAGGTGCACAGCTGGCCCAGCAAACTGCAGAGCGCGGCGGGGAGAGCCCCCTCCCAGTCCTGCATCTGCAGATGTCAGCATCCTTCCAGCCTGTTCTTCTGCACTGACTGATGGCCCAGCCCCAGACAGACATCCTTAAACACCCAAACGCAAGGCATGCACTCAGCAGAGGCCGGAATCTTCCAAGTCCACAGAAGTGGGTAAGTATCTTCAGGAAGAAAACTCGATTTGAAACACGAAGTTGTTGGTGGCAGACAGCAGAGCTAAGCCCCTTCTCACCATCTGGACTAATGCCTTCAACCAGCCTTGACCGCGGACCTCGAGATGCACTGTAGAAACGACCAGCAAAACGTCCTCAGCTTTGGGGTGTTGGCCTGAGCCAGTGCAGGCAACAGCTGTGCTTTGTCAGCAGTAGTGAAATGGCCTGAGGGCCGCTGTGACGCAGAGCTGGTGGAGAAAGGCCATGCACACCTGCGCCAGTGACACAGCAGGTGGCTTAGGAGGACAGGGTTTGTGCTCGCTCGGCTCGGGAGGCCAGGAGTCCTGACGGAGGTGTGGAGAGCTGGTCCCCCTGGGCGCTGGAGGGAAGAGCTACCAGGCTCTGCCCAGCTCCGGTGGTGCCGCGGTTCCCAGTTCCCTAGGCAGCACCCCTCTGCATCTCGCTGGCCTCTGCCCCAGTTATCACATGGCCTCCTCCCCACAGTGTCTGCTTCCATGTCCAGATTTCCCCCTTCAGAGACACTGGTCATTAGTCATGGGGCCCATCCTAGCTGTGGTGACCTCATCTTCCCTGGCAACATCAGCAAAGACAGTTTCCCTAAATGAAATCCCCCCGCAAGTTGTTACTAGACATGCGTGGGCTGCCAGTGTCCTCCCCAGTATAGTGCCCACATCCCCCGATTCTCACAGGATGTGGTAGGGACTCCGCCCTCACCAATACAGTGGCATGAAGCTAGGTTCTGACTGGATGTGGACAGGGATGCCGTCCCTCCCAGTCTGTGGCCACGTCCCTACATGCTGAGTAGACATGGATGGGGACCCCATTCCTCCAAGTGCCATGTCACAAGTAGCAGGTTTTACTGAGCAGCTCGCTGCTGCCCACCACAGGGTCATGACAAGTCCTGTGGCCATTGTGGTGTCCAGAGAGAGGCTGGGAGGGAGGAGGAGCCTGGTGTCACACTTCTTCAGCAGGGCAGCGTGGCCATGACGAGGCCAAGGGGAGGCGGAAGGAGCCATATGTGACTCCCAGGCTTTGGCCCCCAGACCTCAAGGCCTCTCCAGCCCCCGGGCCACGCGCCCTCTGAGCTCGGGCACTGACCTCCCAGTGCCAGTCCCTGGCCTGCTGGGCACAGTCAGAGCAAAGCCTGGACATCCAGTATGGGATGGGCTGTCCTGTCCCCTAACAGACTACTTCCCTCGCGGTGGAACTCTTCCCTGACAGACACAGCATGCGTCTTAGGATTTTTATTTCTGAAAACCTGACTTACATTTTTTTTGGTACCAGGAATCGAACTCAGGACCTTGCATTTGCCAGGCAGGCGCTTCTGCCACTGAGCTACATCCCTGGCCCTCTGACTTACATTTTAAAATTTCAGAGCTAAGTATGCAGTTGTCCCCATACAGGAGAGGACTGGCTCCAGGACCACCCCACGCACAGATGGCTGACCTGGCTGCTCTGGTCCTGGTAGAGGACGATGGGCTGGTCGCGTGGCTGCCTGTGTCCTCCTGTCATCAGAGCAGTTCTGGTTACTCAGAACACTGAGTCTGAGTGTGTGAATGTGTGTGAAGATCACTAGCCGTGTCCGTCAGGAAGCGACGGGAAGGAGGATGTTTGTGCGTGGCCTGTGCCCACAGTTTTCTGCAAATACTTCCAATCCACGTGAACTGAATCTACAACCGTGGAGCCCATGAGTATGGAGGCCTCACTGGTGCGCACAGGAGAGAAGCCACTACCATCCCGTCCACAAGAACAGCGAGTGCCCCACATGGGCGCCCATGCCAGCGGAGGTCGGCTTTTCCGGAAAGGAGCAAACAAATTTAGAAACCATCCATATTTTAAAGGAAAAATACCCAGTTTGGGGCATCAGGCGTCATTGTGACGTGAGCACTTTTTAAAGAGTGTGGTCCTGGGCTGCACTGCCTAAAGCCTCCGTCCGGACTCCTCCCGTCCTTGAGGCTGCTCAGCCCACATCTGGAAGGGGCTGCTCCATCCTGCGACCATGGTTCCAGACCCACTGCACCTCGTGTTGGTCACACACAGGCTGACCAGAGTTCCCGGGGGCCAGGGGACAGCTGGGGCCCACGGGAGTGAAAAGGTTTTTGGTGGGGCTGCCACCTGGAGAGCCTGGCCTGGTGGCCTCTCCCCAGACGGTGCCATCACGGTCTGCCGGGTGGCCAGGCTCCACACTCCCTGGACCCCAGGGAGGACCGTTTACACGACAGGAACTGTGTGTGTGCACTGCTGGGGCTGACCCCAGGCCCTTCATACTGAGCTACATCCCCAGCCCCTTTTTATTTTTTGACAGCATCTCCCTAAGTCACAAAGTTGTCTAGACTGGCCTTGAACCTGAGCTCCTCCTGCCTCGGCTTCCAGCATGCTCAGCTTTCAGGCGTGTGTCACTATGCCCAGCTTATAGGAAATTCCAATCAGGAGCATTTGTGCGGCCTTGTGAGGGTTTGCCGTCTTGTTCAGAACTCCTGAGTAACTCTCAGCTGGTCTGACACCAGCCTGCAGCACACGCAGCACCAGGATATCCAAGGTCATGACTACTCCCATGTGCAAACCACCGAAGGGGAGACACCAGGAGCCCTGACAGGACTAGGAGACAAATGGCCACATTGAAAACAACCTCTCCAAGAACCCCACTGGGGCCTCCAGAGAGGCTGCCTGCCTTGGTGGACGGAGGCCCTGCACCACCTGGCTACAAACATGTTCTAACCCCAGAGTGCTGTGTCTGGCTGGCCAGAGCTGGTCCGCCACCTCATGGGCACCTGTCTGCAGCAGCCTCAGCGCCCCCAGCTGCCCAGGCAGACCCATGCCCAGCGTCCAGCCTGAGGCCAGGGTGCTACACACACCCAACCCACTTTGCTGTCAGTTCTTCGTCCCTGTCTCCTTGGCCGTGAGTGATGGCAGAGACTCCACATCTCCTGGCCAAGGTATGGAGGGTGCGCCAGGGCTGTCAGGCACAGGCGGGCAGCTGGCAACATACTGCAAACCGTGATTGGATTAAAGGAAATGCTGATGTGTATGTGCTTGAACCACAGCCCCTAGATTTTCTGGGACATCTTATTTCAAATATGAAGTCTTGCTGGGTTTTCTGTACATAAATTCACACAGGAGCTGGCGTTTACAAACATGACCTAGGGAGCCGTGTCCATGAGCGTGCGGGGCTGCTGCCGTGGAAAGTGACCCAGGGACGTTTGAGTTAGGCTCAGGTGCAAAGAGACGTCCTGAGGTGCTTTTCAAGGGGGCTTTCTGAATCACAGCTGAAAACAAGCCACTGCTCTGCGTTTGTGTGTGCTTAGTCCCCTTGTCGTCGTCCTCCTCCCAGGCGGCCTCCTCCTCCTCACCAGGTCGGACAAATTTACCTCCGGTCCTGACTTGGAGACGTGCAGGGCCCTCACAGCGGCCTGTTCTCCAAGGAGACACTGTGCGCACTTCATCTGAACCACAGACACAGGGTGAGACTCCAGATTCCATGTGGCTCGTGCTCGGGCCAGTGGGGACAGCCGGTGACAGGGTCACCCAGCATGGCCGCACAGGCTGGATGGAGAAAGCCAGCTATGGGCTGCACCGCCATGGGCACCCGGTGACACGCGGGACACCCCGCCACCACGCCCCTCCAAGGACTCCAGTGAGCCAGATCGGAGCCGCGTGGGCGGGTGGGCACAGGCGCGGGCAGCAGCAGCTACAGGCAACCCCACCCATGTCGCCCTGGGCGCCCCTCGGCAGCGCACCACCCTCCTCTGGCCCACGTCCCCTCCCGTGCTCTCTCCAAAGTGAGTCCACGCCCGTGGATTTGTTGACTTTTGAGATGCAGGTGGGTGCATCACCAGTTGAGGGTGGGAGACAGGACAGCGCTTTCATCACCCTCCGGCAGCAACTCCATCGGCGACCAGCACCGTGGAGGCTCGGCTGAGTGTCTGCAGCTGTCCTCTGGCAACAGGGGCAGGGCTGGGTTCCTCCAGCAAAGGCCTCAGAGACCCGGTTTTCCTCCGGTTATTTTAGACCATGAAATCACAGCGCCAGGAAGCTCTCAGGGGTGACATAGGAGGCCCGGCTGGCACCTGGTGCCAGGGTTCAGCCAGCAGCTTCGTTTCCAGGCTTCTGTGTACCTCAGCACCACCGGGAAGCAGAGTGACACAGCAGAGGGCTGCGTGCCAGGGTCACAGCGACGCGACCTTTCCCGCAGGAAGAGTGCGCCTGTGCGGGCGGCTGCGCACGTGCACGGACAGGGCGCTTGCTTCTCAGAAACACCTTTCTGTGCATTTAAGAGGTCCCGGGAGGACTGCCGCACAGGCCTCTGCTAGGGTGTCTCTGAGTTCTCTCTTTTGACATAAATTCCAAATCAGCGGAATAATTCACTCTGCTCAGTGCCTTGGAGGGTGGAAGCAGTCACCAGACGACCTCATCTTGAGGCGGGGGAATCTGGTGGAGGAAAGAGGTGAGAGCCTAGGTGAGGCCCAGGCGCGGTTCCCGTGTCAGGTCCAGTGTGGCTTCCGCAGGCTGGGCTTGCTGAGCTGTGCACATCTGAGGTGTGAGCACCACCGTCACCATCAAGCAGAGGACCCCAGAGCCCTCCCAGCAAGCGTGCAGACACAGTGCAGCACCACTCACGAGAGCCACCGCCCTGTGCCCCAGGTCTGCAGGACAGAAGTCTGTGCCTGCCGGGGCCTCTGTGCCTCCTTCCCCACTTCCACCCGTGCCACTTTCACCCCCATGCGGGAGTGGGGGCCGATCACACACAGCGAGATCTCCTGCAGATTCCCCAGAGGATGAAGACGAGAGACTTCCTCCTCTTCAGGGCTGAGTAGTGTTCCACGGAGTGTAGATGCCGTGTTCTCTGTGTCTGCCCGTGCACCCATGCTCGCTTGCCTGGCTTCTGTTTCTTGTTCGTTGTGACGGTCTGCAGAGCCTCAGGAGCCAGACGTCTGTTTGACAGCTGATTTTGGCTCCGTGGATCCATACCCAGGACTGGGGTTACTGAGCCTGGCGCCATGTTCACTCTCTTCCCCGCCGGCCCTGCCAGTTCACACCCCACCGTGTGCGAGGCCCCTTTCTCCACAGCGGTGCCGCTTGCCCTCAGCTTTCTGGTAACAGCCGCTGGCCCGGGCGCTGAGCACGTCTGCGTACCCTGCCGGCCTTCTGTCTTCTTTGGGCAAATGTCTGTCAGGTCCTTTCCCCGGCCTTTAGATGGGTTAAACCCTTGATGCTCAAGAAGGTCTTCGAGTGAGGAGAGCCCATACTTCTTTTTGCATGTTTTAGTTAAGTTGGACGTAGAACTCAGATGGCATTAGAGGCTTGCAACATCTGCCGTGATTTGCTTGGGTGGGCAATGTGCCCAGGGGCGAGGTCATGTGTCACGGCCACTGTGACAGTGCCACCCACTGGTTGGCTCGGGACAACTGAAACGTACCCTCCGTTCTGGCAGCCGGAAGTCCTAGCTCAGGGGCAGCAGGGCTGCGCGCTGGCCCCAGGACCCATTGGCTTTGGCAGCATTGCCCTGTCCTGCCCATCTGCTTGTGATCTGCCCTCCTCCGTGTCCTGGCCCACCCCATGCTTCCTCTTCCTGTAAGGACAGCACTGTAGTGGGTCAGAACCCCTCCACGTAGGACCTCAGAGACCTGGTGTCAGGATGAGGCCACATTCCCAGGCACTGTGTTCCGGCTGGGTGACCAAGCCCAGGAAGAAAAAGCACTGAGGCCTGTCGACAGCATCACCTAGCGGGCTGAAGCTCTCAGTAATAATCTGTGTGCCCACCGGTGTCTAAATTTGACTTTTCCGACACATTCTGGGGTCTCGCTGGGCAGGCACTGCGGGTGGAGGAGGGCACGGGGCCGGGCTCTGGCCTCCCTCCTTGGCGAGACATAGGACCTGCGGCAGATCACTGTGCAGCCTGTGCCAGGGCACCCAGCTGAGCTGCCATTTAGCCAACACTGTGTTTATGAGCCGTGCCGTTTAGAAACACCCTCCCTGCGTCTACACACAGTGACCTAAAGGAAATATTCCCCCCGGGGTCCCTTGGACTGTTAGTTTAAATTGTTTTATTTGGATTTCATCTTAACCAAACCTTCAGAGGCCAGCAGGCTCCCTGGAGCGAGGCGCTGTGGGTGGGAGCCCCGGAGAGCCCGCCGTGCTCGAGGACCCCTCCTCAGACGGGGGCTCCGTGGTGTCACACTCTGGTGGCCCCCGCAGAGTACTCAGTGATTAGTTTATGATCTAGATCATTGTATTTTTACGACACTCATAAAACCTGTGTTTCTCCACATTTTCATAATGGCTTCAGTGAGCCCCTCTGCTTGCTGGAGGCACATTAAATGGTGATGTGGCCAGTGCCAATTTGGCAGAACAGGTTTGAGGCCTTAGAGCAAGAGGCAGGCTTTGGAGTCGCTCCTGCTGGGCTGGCACTAAGCGGGGAGGTGCACGGGTCTAGGCACAGCTCATATTTATTTGTGGGCTTTTTTTGTGAACACCCCAGGAGGTTGCTTTAATTCTGATACACACAGTACACCGTGCAGTACCCAAAGGATATTGGCTGTATACCCCCACAGGGACATAAATCAATGGTAAAGGAAGAAAATATTGTCCACACATTTGATTTTTAAAATGTAATTCAGTGAGAAAGTTCAATAACATGAACTCTGACAAGAAAGCATTTTAGTGAGATATGAGAATTTTTTATTATTTTAAAGAGAAAAAACAAAATTTCAAAACAAGATAATAAGAGGGTAACAATGGTTAATACATTGCGCGTTGTTATTTTTAAATTAGCTCCTCAGAGTACGGAGAATTCTTTTAAATAACAGGACCTTAATTAGATTTTACATCTGTATTTAAAATGGAAGTTCTTTCTGACACCAAATGGACATCTGAGAAGGTTGCTCATAGATATCTCTGTGAAGGCCATGTAACCGCTGCAGGGCAGCGAGGCCCCTTTGCTCTGCACAGGGTGTGGATGACGCCACGTGTGCCCAGGCCCTGTGCTGAGCGCACAGGGTCCTCGCTGACATGCTGGCCGCGGCCTGCCTCTGCCTGCAGATGGTGTGGGAGAGCGGCTGCGCGGTGATCGTCATGCTGACCCCGCTCACGGAGCACGGCGTCCGGCAGTGCCACCACTACTGGCCTGACGAGGGCTCCAACCTCTACCACATCTATGAGGTATGAGAGGGCCCTGGGCCTGCTGTCCCTAGGCAAGGACCAGGCAGCCTGTCCCCAGCTCGGCGGCTGTGGGCAAGGCCACCAGCCCTGGCCCATGCTCCCCACAAGGCTAGAACAGTTCCGGGTGGCGGTGAGCACATCACACCCACAGAGGGGTCCAGGTGCTGGCCAGCCAGAACCCAGAAGTTCACACTGCATGTGGCTGGGCCATCCGAGTGAACCAGCCGCCCGGACTTACGAGAATGCTCCATTATGCCAGTGTCTGGCGGGTCCCACTGTGGAACCTGCCCCCTGGCTCAATTAGCAGTTGGTGTTGGCGGCACTGGGCCTTTAGCTTAGGAGAAGCTGCTCCTAGAGGATTGCTCTGGCTGGGTGTTCTCCCACACCAAGCATGAACTCACTGAACGTGGGCACCCTTTGGCCCGCTGTGCTCTGAGGTTAGGAGACAAGGGACACACAGTGGGCAGTGCGTTCCAAGCTTACCCAAACCCTGGGCCACACCCCTGTGGCTGGCGGTCCCTGAAGCAGGACAATGGGTGGGCCTCAGCCCTTCGCCCTCCCTGGCCTTGGTGAGACTGCAGCGGGCACCATGGGGTCTGCCCCAGGGCGGTTTCTGTCCAGCCACCTGTCCTCAGTGGCTAGAGTGGTTCTATATTATAACACCTTCTTAAAACTGACTTTCAAGCCCATAAGTGGCACTGAACATACACACACACACATGCACACACGCACACACAGCCATCTCTTGTGTAACCCTGGGAGGGGGTGGGGAGGCCCAGGCCAGCCCTGGTGACAGGGCACACGTGTCACCTTGCACAGTGTTTCCTCCTCTCGCCTCAAGAGCAGCGCGGCGCTCAGCATCCCCCAGGCTCACCACGTCCCTCCTGTGCCTGCCCCCACCTCCCGCAGGTTAATCTGGTCTCGGAGCACATCTGGTGTGAGGACTTTCTGGTGCGGAGCTTCTACCTGAAGAACCTTCAGACCCACGAGACGCGCACGGTGACTCAGTTCCACTTCCTGAGCTGGTATGACCAGGGCGTCCCTTCCTCCACGAGGTCGCTTCTGGATTTCCGCAGGTAAAACCCAGAGCCGCCCCAGGGATACAGCTAGAGCCAGGCCAGGAGCGAGGGATGGGGCCCAGGCTTCCTGCTTCTAAGACGCTGCCCCGGCTGTGGGGTCGCTCCTGTATGAGGAGCACCAGGGAGGGAGGAAAGGACGATGTGGACAGGAGATGCAGTGGTGTTGATGCCCGAGGGGCGGCATCTTAGAACTGTGGAAATACGGCTGTAGTTTTTGATAAGCTTCTTCAGCTGACAGCTTATATTTCGCAGGATATTGGTGGACAGAGCTGGGTTGTTAGTTTGGCCACCCGTCTGGTTGTATAGGGGGCGTTAGTCAGGGTGGGGCTAGAGTCCACCGTGGAGTACTCAGGGGAGGCCTCACACATCAGCCTGGGACTGTAGGTGTTCTAGTGTGGTTTCAAGGCTGACAGTTCTTAAAGATCCCTCTTTCGTTTACGGCTCTGGTCAGCCGGTCACCAGCACATCTTCTCATTTTAAAGTGTGTTTACTGAGCAGTGGAGAGCTGGACTTTGTCTTGCAGAAGGATGTGAACAGCGCAATACCAAAGCAGACGTGAGACAGAAGCGTGGTCTGCTTGTCACACGTGGTGGCGACCAAGGGCAGTGCTAGCCTCCGGGGGTGGGGGCAACACCTCGAAGAAGGCAGGTGCACGTGCTCCAGGGCACAGTGGCCGGGCTCCCTGTGCCACCCAGCAGCGCAGGGACATCCGCAGTGCCCCGGCCCACACTGTCCCTGCCACAGTGTGTGTCTGGACACTGTCCACCCAGGTGTGAGCTCTGAGACCCAGGGGTGGTGGGGACAAAAGGATTGCTGTAAAGATGGGGTTCGGACTCAGCTCTGGGTTTCTTGATTGTGTTTAACAGATTCCTAAGCTTTTCATGATAATATTTCTTTTGCCTTCTAGTCCACTTTGAAAAACAAAACACTTTTATCTGAATTGTTCTTTAGATCAGATAGCATGTGACCTCTGTCAAGGACGGACAAGAATATGGTGTCACCTGTCAGCCCGGTCCCCACCCCTAGGAATGCCCCAGCACGTGACACGCAGCCACGCACACCCTGCTGCTCACCCCAGGGTCCTGGCCCCTTGATACATTTTCTCAATGCAGATTTATATCTAAAGATGTGACGAGCTTACATAGTTTCCTGAAGTAGTCTTCCAAAACAGTCGTTACTGGCAAAAGGGATGCAGCCCCAAAGACGGCCACTCCTACAAGGCCGGTCTTTGACTCGTCTGTGTGTTTGTGCATATGTGCACACAGACTGTCATCTGTATCCATGTATGAGCAAGAACATAGCCACGCTCAAACTCGAGTTCAAGCGTCCCAAGAAAACAGGGATCCCAAAAGTACCGTGCTCCGGGGTCTGAGAGGTATACCAAGGTTTCTGTGAGAGAGAAAACCCCCAGGCCTAGCTGGACAGGCTTCAGGGACAGAGCTGCCCTGGCTTCCTGCCGTGAACCCAGCAGTTCCTTACCGAGACCCTTTCGCCTCATCTAGACAGCTGGGGGAAGTGGCTACACGCCCCTCCACGCACGGCTCCCTCAGGCACCCACACTGCAGCCAGCAAGGTGCAGCGCTGCTGGAGACCCCGCCGTCTGCAGACACCAGGGTCCCCCTCCTGAACATAGACGCTGGCCTGGGGTAGCCCACGAGGTGTAATTAAATGTTTCTGGAGCCCAGAGGGAGCACATTTACACTTTAAAGAGAAACTGCTAAGAGATAATTAGCATCACATGTGAGGGCTTCGCTTCAGAATCCGCTCTCCCTCTCTCCACCTCTGTCTCTCTCATTCTCTCTTCTCTCTCCCCCTCCTCCACCACCCTCTCAGCCCCCACTTCTCTCTGTCTCTCTCACCTACTGTGTGCCATGGCATCCACTAACGCTGCTCACTGTAAAAATGGACAAACCCTTACTTTGCCAGCTAATTAGCGGTGGCCAGTGTCATTTTTGTGATGTTGCAGCTAGTAATATGAGCCCAGTTGCATAGTCACAAAAGTGATCATTGGAAACTGTGACTGCTGCGGGGACATGTGGGGGACCCCGAACCGCTAACGACCTCACCTTTGCTTGCTGTGGTGCATGGCGGGTCCTCCTCACTCGGGGACCGAGGGCTGGTTCTTCCGGCGACTCCTCCTGTGCCACCTGCTCTCGGTGCTGGAGCCCTCTGGCTCGCTGGCAAGCGTCTGAGAGTCCTGGGACGCTTCGAGCCACTCGCCGCCATGAATAACCTGCAGCCTGGATGGGCAGCTTGGCTCCCTGTGCGATTGTTTCGCTTTTCTCTCTGCGGCGTCTCTCGGTGTGATGATCGAAGTGCATGACTCTGTGTAAATAAAGTTCTCAAACACCCCGCGCCCATTCCCCGGTGCCCTTGACTGCTCGTTGGTTCTTTGTAAGTAGGGCTGGCGCGGGCTGGGGACTGGCGTGTCAAGATGGCAGCGTAGCCTTGCAGGGCCGCTGGAGAAGGTGGTATCCTAAACGCTCCCCAGGCGGAGATGGGGCCACAGCAGTGAGGCAGGGGTGCAGCCACCGCAGCCAGCACGCTGGTTGCTTTTACCAGCTTCTCCCACCCAGGGTGACGCTGAGCGCGCTTTTCCGAAGGGGATGCTAAGCGACGCAAACGGCCAGCGCCGTGCCGTCTCAGACGCCGTCCTCCTAAACCAGCGCAGTTCACAGGCCGTCTGATGTGGGGCCGATGGGTTTTTGTGTGCATTCCTTTATGCTTGGTTCCACGAGGAGAAAGTGAGCACAGGCCAGTGCTGGGCAGGCGGGAACACGCAGGTTGCCCGCAGTCTTTCAGACATGAGGACTGGGTGCGAAATGCCCAAGGGCATCCACATTGGCGCAGCCCAGGAGTGAGGGTTTTCTGTTTGCAGGAGGATGGGTCTGTGAGTCCCTGGTTCTACACACACACTCAGTCCCTTTCTTTTTTTTTTTTTTTCTTTTTTGTGGGCTGGAGCCTGGGCCTTGCGTACCCCGTGTAGGCACTCACCAGCGAGCAGCGCCCCCACCCTGCACGGTCTTTCTCCAGCGCGGGGCTCTGCCCTTCCCGCTCCAGGTCCATCCTGGGGTCCAGATCTGTGTGGCTCCACTGAGTCAGGAGTGGGCACGTTTGAGAGCACAGCAGTGGACCCGTTTTCCCATCTGTTTCTCACGCCAGGAATGGCTCTGGTGGAGCGGGCAGTGCAACCGAGAAGACCCGGCTTGTCTCACCTGTGTCCCCTCTTTAAAGTGTCGCCGGCGGCCCCAAAGCTCTGAAGGTGCCGCCTGCTCCACACAGCAAGCGCGGCCGAGCGGGCTCTGAACACAGCCTGTCTGCAGGTGGCGTGTCTCATCCTGCCCTGCGGCCGCCCCTCCCTCCTCGTGCCCCTGCACCTGCCGGCTGCAGTGACTGTCACCTGACAGTCACAGTGCTCAGCAGCAAACCCTTGCAGAGAAGCATGAGGGCTCCTGTTTGTAGTTCAAGGGGAAAAGTTTTTTCTGTACCACCTTTTTAATTCGAGTCTCTGGTTGTAGGACTCCTGCAGCACTTCCAGAACAGTGCTTGTCACCCATTCTCCCTGCCAATAAACTGAGGTCCTGCCTTCAGCGTTATTGAGAAACATTTTACTGAGAACTTTGATGTGCTTTGTAAATGTGTCGTTCTCTCACTAAATTTTTTTAGAAAAACCACTTGAAGCTTGTACAGTGAGCCCACTTATTTGGATGGGGCTGGTTAGTGAAGTCATAAGTATATTTTTATTGTTAATTTTCACAACCTCTGCTGCATGAGGGGGCTGTTGTGAAAGATACAGATTCATGAGGATGGAAGAAACTGTCTTGGACTTTGTGGATTTTCTCTGTAATTTAGATCTCCTTACGCAAGACTGACAGGTGGAACAAGGTTCCAGAATGCTGTTTTTAGACAATGTAGTAATTCCTCTCCCAACGTGATGCACAGGGTGTACAAAATCCTTTGCATAAGCTGCCAACCCACAAGTTCAGTGACGCATCAGACAGCCACGTCAGACCCGCAAAGCCGAGGGAAGGGCAGGCGTGAGTGCTGGGGCGCCCCCAGGGTCAAGGCCAGAGCCCCAGAGCTCATACTTGCAAAGGGGGAAACAGTCCTGTGCAAGTGTAAGAGCTGTTTTCAAAGCTCTATTGAATAATACTGAAAAGAAAAATCTTCGGATTTGTATGTGCAAGTTTTATTCCCTGTGCAAACAAGTGGTGGCAAAGTGATTTCGGGGCGTGTAACTGCTGCCTTGGCTTAGGAGTTTGGAGAACACAGTCTTAGTGCATCTCTGTAATTTTTATCTCTTTTTATTTCAGAAAAGTAAACAAGTGCTACAGGGGCCGTTCTTGTCCAATAATCGTTCACTGCAGGCAAGTACAACTTTTAATGTGGGTTAAGAAGTTTCCACGATGTCTGAAGTGATCAGAACAGTTAGCATAGGAGTTGGACTTCCTTACTGCTTAGTGAGTAGTCTCCTTGGTAGCCCACGGGGAACCAAAGGTATAAATGCCATCAGCTCTGCCGCCTGGCTAAACAGAGCTGCTCACCTCCCTCACCGTACCTGGAGTGGTGTTTTATTCCTACCAGCGCCACATCCTGTCCCATCATCTATTTCTAAAGATTTCTATCCCACTACCTTATTTTTCGCTAAACCCTCTTGGTACCACACAACTGAGAGATGTGTCTGATCAGCCCCAGGGGGGCCCCGGCAGAGGTGTGGGGCTGTGCAAACGCTGCAGGTGGCCAGCCCGGCTTCAAAGAGGGAGGGGGTCTGTCGTCGCAGGAGGTGTGGCCACCTGCAGGTCTTGGTGCGGGGTCTGGGCCCTTGGGAAGAACTCCAGAGACCCAGGCCATACACACGCTGGGAAGAAAGGGTCCTCACAGCAGAGGCAAGGCAGAGGGCCCCTCCACCACACTCAGCGCTCAGCTGTTTGTGGTGTGAGACTCATAGTCCACTTCCCAGAACTGCCTCACAGAATGAACCTTTCTGCCTGGAATAAAAGACCCAAAGGTCAAGCCCCAGATCTCTGCAGATGTGTACAGGTGTGCACCCACAGCTGTCTGTGAGGGGAGACGACCCTGTCCCCTGCGCTCCTGAGTAGACAGCGCCTCCTCCACCCATAGGCACCAAGCTGGCGCCTTCTCCGGAAGCTTGTGAAGTGTGGCTCTCTGCTGTACACGGCACTAGCACACGCATCCGCTGTGACCGCCCAGGACAAGCCTTTGGGTCACACAGCGAAGGAGGGCGTGTGCATCTCCCACAACCACACAGTGAGGTTGGGTGTGGACAGAAGCACAAGGTGTGAAGTATTTCTCTTTCCAGCCACAGCTTCTCAAGGTGAAAACCAAACCCAGGGGCTTGTCACTAGGAAAGACCAGCTGGCGGGCTCACTCGGGACTTCTAGGGCATCACAGTCAGCACGCTCGCCAGGAGCCGAGAGCAAAGCACTTTGTCAGTCACGTGCTTTTTTTTTTTTTTTAAGCACTGGGGATGGAATGCAGGGACTGTGTGCTGAGCTGCATCCCCAGCCTTTTTTAAATTTTTATTTTAAGGCAGGATCTTGCTAAGTCATAAGTTGCCCTGGCTGGGCTCCAGTTTGCAACCCTCCTCAGCCTCAGATGCCAGACCTCCCCCACCACACCTGGCTCCAATTATGTACTTCTGGTTTGGTTTGGTGTTTTCTTGAAACAAGGTCTTGCTATGTAGCTCAGACTGGCTTTGAACTCACTATGTAGCCTAAAATGGCCTTGAACTCGACATGGTCCTCCTGCCTCAGCCTCCCAAGTGCTAGGATTGCAGGCATGTGCCACCGGGCCCGGCCAACTTCCTAGTCTCGAAATGGAAACATTCGCTCTCTCCTCAGTCTCCTTGGTTCTGGCAGGAACAACAGCGCGAGTGTGCGCCGTGTGCCAGCCGACGTCACCATGAGCACAGAGGAGACCCCGTTTGGGCCCAGAGCCCGCCTCAGTCCCGCACGCTGCATCCCGTGGGAAAGGAGTGGCCCACACGCTTCTCACGGAAAGGGCGACACAGAGGCTGTCAGCTCCCAGAAAAGGACCTTTCGTTCTCTTCAGTTAGCTGTTGAGACAGAATTAAAACCATTTCTGCAACTCCAGTCAAAATACCCCTGTTCCGGCTGGTGGGACGAGGAGGAGACAGAATGAGACTGCGGCTCAGGGACAAACGCTGCACGCGTTTCCGCTGCTGAGAGGAAGGACAGGCCTCCGAGGGGCGGGCACGCGCCCAGGACGGCGCCCCCTTCAGGCGCGGGGACGGTGCGCCGTGGGCACTTCTAATCTGAGGCCATCACCCCGACTCAGCCACACAGTTCTTTATTTCCTTTGTTTCCTGACAAGATTTAGCCCATCTTTGGCCAGAGGCTGGAGGAAAAGGAGACAAATGCACCACACACAATGGCTGGTTCCTGCGCACGTGCCCGCCCCTCCCCCTCGCCCCCAGCAGAAAGGCTTCTCGGTGCCGGCCCACGGGACAGGCGGCGTTCTCACTCTCTCCCCTTCTGTTGACAGTGATGGCGCCGGCAGGAGCGGAACCTACATCCTGATCGACATGGTTCTCAATAAGATGGCCAAAGGTGAGAGCGCGCATCAGGCTGCTTTGTTGTGGCTCAGAGATGGGAGGTGTTGCCATGGCAACGTGGGGCGTAATACTCACTGGAGTCCTTGGAGAAAATCAGGGGATTGTTGTCCCTTTCCTGAATCATTTGAAGGCTGTTTACAGCAAGCACATTTATGTTTGCAGTTGGGCCTTCGTGGTCAGCCTGCGTGTGCTAGGCACATAGTAGGGCTTTGATAAGAACCCCCCACATTCACTCTGAGATTCCATCAGAGCCCGGGCGAGCATAGCTCGAATCTTGAAAGACCGCAGCAGGCGCAGGCACCCTTACTGTGTGAGCAGCTTCTCGCTGTGGTTAGCGCTGTGTTTGCGGAGTGAACCTGGTCTCCTAGAAGTCTCTGTGCTCATGTCATCCAGCGTAAATTCCCCTGTCTCTAAGGAATGTTCTTAACTGCAGTGCTTGGTGGAACCCAGGCCTTGTGCCCGCTAGTCAAGCCCTCTGCCACTGAGCTGCGCCCTCAGACACTAACTCCCCCCTCTCAGGAAGGGCACAGCGTCCAGGCAGCAGAGCAGAGCCCATCAGGAGCCATCCGAGAGTACAGGGCCGTGGCAGTGGCTCAGCACCCACTGTAGCCATCTCTGCCGTCTGGAAGGTGTCCAGCCCAGGGCCCAGAGCCCTGCGAGGAGGCGAGGGGAAGAAACGTCCTGGTATCTCCAGGGAGGTGGGATGGGAGCCAGAGGTAGCCGCAGGTAGCCCCTGGGGCAGAGCTTCCTGGGGACCGACCCTCAGGTCCCGGGCCCTGAGTTGCAGTGAGTGCACCCTGGCTTTCCCCCACCCGGGCCTTTCGAGAACACTGCTTTGCCTGCAGCACCTGTTGGAATCCTGGGGCCTGGGAAGCACAGAGCTATGTGTGCTTTGCTGTCGCCCCAGCTCTGACACACACAGGCCGTGGAGTGGTACCCCTCGGCGTGGGGCCGCCCTCTGCAGGCCGGGCGTGTGCACGTGGGTTCCACACATGGTGCGTAGATGCGCAGTAAGCATCCTTCTTGCTCTGCTTTCTCCTGGCAGCAGCAACAACAAAGCCAGTGCCCTTCTTTAGCTGAGGGTGCGGGTGGGTGTGTGAAGTGGGACAGAGGTCCGTGACTCACACAGTCCGGCGGCTGGGCTGTCACCTGAAGCTCCTGGTGGCGGGGGCCAGGGTACACCGGCCTCCTGTGCAACTGCCGGGATGTGGGAGGCTGGGTTCGGTGCCGCCTGAAGCAGCTGAGTGGCGGAGATGTGCGCAGGCCGAGCCCAGACAGAGCACAAGCGCTCCGTGATTGCTGTTCACAGCACAATCCCAACTTTAGATCCGAGTCATTTTGTCTTTGTTACTGCCGCTGTCTCCTCCTTAAACGCCCTTTCTTTTGCAAATTGGAGCTCAGAGCGATGGACAGCAGCGTTTACAGCTCTTCCTTTATCACCCACCCTCTGTCTCTCAAATGAATTTTCCTTCTGTGGCTCAAAATACCTGCAGAACAATGTGGACCCTTTCACCTATGCCTTGCCTGTCGCGGTGGTGAGGTAAAAAACACGCGCAGCCTACTGGGAAGGGACGCCTGCCGCTCCACAGGGGTGGGCATTGAGTCGGTGCCGCCGACGATGCGCCCCTCGTGGAGCCCCTCTGGGATGCCAGGTGGAGCTCCGGGACACGGGTTCCCTCCACGGGAGCGAGCACGGGAAGACACTTTCCGGCCGGCGTGGCGGGCGGGCCGTTGTCCGGCGTGCTGGCTCACCGTGCAGTGCAGCCGTGCAGGGTCGGATTCCATTCAAAGTGTGGGCCCGGCGTCCCATGGTGCAAGCCCAGCCGTGTGGAACAGGCCGAGCGCCGGCTGCGGCTTTCTCTAAGACTGCTCACCCTCTCTCTGCTCCTGACCTGCTCCCCTTCCCGGTGTGAAATCCCCTGACCCGGCCCCGTGGTCTCAGGAGAGATCAAAGGGCGAGCGGCCTTTCCCAGGCCGCCCCCCCCAGAGGCTGCCGAGGTTTTGTCCTGTGCTGCCCGGCCGTCTTTGTCTGGCCTGAGAAGCTGGAGGCCCACGTTGCAGCCTGGCGTTCATCAAATGATCAAAGGCCCAAAGCCTTTCTTCCTGTTTCCCTTTCTTGAAAGGAATGAATTGTGCGAGCCCCCAAAGAATGCTTTGCAAAGCTCTCCTGTGCGGCCCCACCAGCATCGCAGCTCTGCTTGGCCGGCACGTCCAGGGCCCAGCTGTGCGGCATCGGGCAGGGCTCACTCAGCCTTTCAGGGATTAAGGCCAGGGCCGAGCGTGAGGCCCACAGAACAACCACAGACTCATTTCAGCACTCTCCCCACTGGTGAGTTTATTAGCAAGCAGACAAAGACGCACTTGGAAACCAAGGCAGGCAGCTAGCACTCCGCAGAGCACACGGTGGCGGGGAGTGGAGCCCGCCTGAGCCGCTGCTGTCGGGACAAACAGGGTCCGGGCAGCTCGTCCCCTCCTGCCGGGGGCTCAGCTCACACTCCAGAAGCTGACTCCAACCGAGCTGCCCTCGCTGTGTGCGTTTCCATTTCCAGCCATCCTCATCCCTTCAAGCACAGAGCTTTCCCGTCCCCTCAGTCACCAGCCAGGGGCCGGGAGGGCCTGGCAGAGGGGCGAGTGGCGGCAGCACAGCTGGGGTGGTGCGGGATCCAGTGCCGCCTGGCTGCCTGGCTACACCCTCCTGCCCAAGTAGTCAGGGAGCCCCGCTGGGGGTGGGCGTGGCCCGGCCTCCCCACACTGCTGCCTGTGCTGAGCGCCCCGAAGGAGAGTGCGGGCAGCCCTGCCCAGCCACAGGGTTTATGTCTGGTGCCCATCCAGCCAGGCCTGCCGCGCCAGGAGCGCCAAAGCCCTGTGAACGCCAGTGTGCCGGAGGCGCTGTCCAGGCCCTCTGAGCGCGTGTGTGTGAGCCGACAGTGGGGCTGTGACCCCCGTCTCGTCCTGCACAGTGCGTCCATCTGGCTACTTCCCTCTGCACGCCATGCACTCGGGTGAGGGGCCGGGGCCTCCCTGCTGTTCCACTTCTTCTGTTCAGGGACGTGAAGTCAGCCTCCCACGAGTCAAACTAGGCAGAATTTGTCCTTCAGTGACTGGCCGGTGAGCCTGAGCACAGGTCCCCAGGGCTCACCACAGGGGTCAGGATTCTTCCTTTTCATGACTGAATAGTACCCCCCACCTAATAGAGCCGGTGTTGGGGGAGGTCGGTGGTGTTTCCGCCCCGTGGCTCTTGTGAGTACTGCAGATGTGGGTGTCCCAGCACCTGCCTGAGCCCCGGCCTTGAGCTATGGGGTGTATCTGGGAGTGGAGCTGCTGGACAAAGGAGCTGTCTGCTTTGCTTGTCCTCTCCGTGGGGCACAGGTGTCCTGGCATCTCCCCACAGTGGCCGCCCTGGTCTTCTCAACGCTGCTGTCCTGAGGGTCTGAGGTGGCATCCTGTGTGGCTTTGGTCTGCATCTCCCTGTGACGCTGAGCATCTTCCCATGGCTTGTGGCCATTTGCCCAGCTGCCATGGACCACTGCGGGCTCAGCCGTGCCCTCCGGATGGGCAGTAGTCTTGCTGCAGGGCTCCCCGGGCCCTGCGTGTGGACCCTTGGCAGGCGCGGTCTCCAGTGTGGCCTCTGCAGCATGAAAGCGCCGGGCAGTGCTCAGCTGTCATACACAGACTTTCCTAGAAATGCCCCTTCACTGCCATGCCATCGGTGCTGCCTCTGAGGTCTCAGACCCCGCACCTCACGGGAGGGGCACTGCGTGGGAGGTGGCCAGCAAGGCTGGCTGCCCTCGTGACAAGCATGCCCGGGTGCCCAGCTCGGGGCACCACTGCACGGGGAGTTGGAGGGTCTTTCTCAATAACGTTTAGGGCTCCTTGAACTCTTCAGCCCAGTGCCCCAGATCAACACGTGGAAACAAGCACCTGCAGCTGCTCTAATGAAGACTGAATAAAATCCAAAAAGACCCATCTTCAGGGACACTGGGAACGCTCACCACGGGGGGCAGAGCAGCAAGAAGCCACCTGTGGGGACAGAGGTCCTCTGCAGTCTTCAGGACCCCATCTCCTCTGTGGGACGACCGCCTCTGACCTGTGTCAAGCCTCACGTCCAGGCCTCACATGGCATCTCCAGGGCCCTGGGCTGGTGGCCACTGTCACCACCTTGCTGTCAGCCACACTCCTCCAGCAGGGCCTCGAGCACAGGACCTTTGCACCTGTCACCCGTGGCCTGGGCAGTGCACCCCAGGCCTCTCTCCTCGTTCACCCATGAGGTCTGCTGCTCCTCACGGCCACTGTCATGGTCACTATTCTTTCAGAAACACGAGCTCAAACCATGAAAGTGTCACTTGGGGCCTCACACAGGCTGGCCCCATGGTTCAGCAGCTACTACTCACCAGCATAGCTCTGGGACACAGGTAAGAGGCAGAGAGGGCCCACCTGCTGGAGTCTGCCCTGTGGATGACTTGTAAGGTGAGGAAGGGCACTGGCAGGAGTGCCCAGCCACCAGCCGTTACAGGCTCTGCACGGCCCACTTCATACCCAGCTGAGGAAGCAAGCAAGCTTGGGTCCCCCCTGGAGGAGGTGACCTTGGCAGTGCACAGACACAGACGTCGGAGCTCGCCGCATACTTCCTGCCCCGAGTGTCTGGTGCCCAGTAGTGGTGATGGGCACAAGGGTATGCGGAGCTGGGCATGTCCCCAGGCCGATGGCAGTGGGCACTGTGTAAGGGGCAGATGTGGCTCTCACTGAGTTAGAGAGACGTGGCTCTGGAGCAGGTGCACTGCAGGGCGTGCCAGGTGGTGGACACACAGACACAGATGGGACCCAGGACCCAGTGATGCCTCAGTCCTCAGAAACCACAGTGAGCACGAGCCCACTGGGCCGCTGTGGCCTCCACGCCACCCACGGCCGCCACCGCGTGGGCAACCCCAAACCCCAAACCCCAAGCAGCAGAAGCAGCGGCCTCTGCCAGCAGAACCTCACTGCCCTGGCTCCCCA